AAAGGAAAGCCTATCAGAATCACAGCAGACTTCTCAACACAAACCATCAAGGCAAGAAGAGCTTGGAGTGACATATTCCAAGCCTTAAAGGAAAACAGCCTCCAATCTAGACTGATGTGCCTTGCAAAACTATCTTTCAAAAGTGATGGAGAAATAAGGTACTTTCACAACAAAGAGCACCTTAGGAACTTCATGAATAACCAACCAGCGCTCCAAAAAATTTTAGACAATATCCTAGGAAAAGACAATGAAGATTAAAACCCTATGAAGCCCAGCAGAATGAATCCACTGGGCACAACAAGAAATTAAACGCAAAGGGGCATAATCCAACAAAAAGAACATGTTATAACAATGATAAGTCAATATGTATCAGCTATAATCATCAATGTTGATGGTCTCAATGAACCAATCAAAAGAAGTAGACTGGTAGAATGGATCAAGAAGCAAGATCCACCAATAAGCTGCATGAAACACACTTAATTCAAAAAGAAACACACTTAATTCAAAAAGAAACTCATAGACTGAAAGTTAAAGGGTAGAAAACAATACTCCAGGCCAAATCAGCCTGCTGCAGACAGGCAGGTCTGTGCACCCACTACCGAGGTCCTGAGTCATGCAGAAGACACCGAATCACCCTGCTGCAGACAGGCAGGTCTGCCCATGCCCTATCTAGGTCCTGAGTCTCACAGAACATGCCGAATCAGCCCACTGCAGACAGGCAGGTCTGTGGACGCCCTACCGAGGTCCTGTGTCACGCGGAAGACACCAAATCACCCCACTGCAGACAAGCAGCCACCTGGTTCCACACTACAAAAATGAAGAGAACACCAGACCACCAGACCAAGGTACCGAGTCCCTCTGCTCCCGGCCCAGAGGTAGGGGTTTCTGAGCCGTCGTCCCACTGCTCCTCGTCCAGAGGAAGGGGCTTCTGGGCCACCACCCCTCCCACTGCTCCTGGCCAAGAGGGAGGGGCTTCTGAGCTGCCATCCCACTGCTCCTAGTCTAGAGGAAGGGGCTTCCCAGCTACCAGCCCTCCCGCTGCTCCCAGCCCACAGGAAAGGGCTTTTGGGTCACCATCCCTACCAGTGCTCCCGGCCCCTGTCCCACCTCACCCAGCTCAGAGGAGGTATTCCGTGCAGGTGCTAACAGCCAACCG